TTGGTGGGGGAATTTGGAGGAAAAGGACTATCAGAGGTGATCATTAACGTGATAGTTTTGGTGGACCCGCCATCCTACTTGAAGAGGATTGGTGGGGGAATTTGGAGAAAAAGGTAACTGTTAACGTGATAGTTTTGGTGGACCCGCCATCCTATTGAGGAGGATTGGTGGGGAAATTTGAAGGAAAAGGACTATCAGAGGTGACGGTTAACGTGATAGTTTTGGTAGATTTTGTGGTTGACAGAGGTATTTTGTTGAACATGACAACTCAGAAAATTTGCTACTCATAATTCAATGAACTACAAATAAACCAACCCCCAGTCTTGAATAAGTGCATGGGGAAAAAGGGTAGACATGGCACATCGCCTAATGGGCCACTATCTAATGAGGTTATCGAATGAACTACAAATAAACCAACCCCCAGTCTTGAGCAAGTGCAGAGGGAAAAAGGGTAGACATGACACATCGCCTAACGGGCCACTATCTAATGAGATTGACTATCAGAGGTAATTGTTAACGTGATAGTTGTTAGACCTGCCATCCTAATAAAGAGGATTAGCTTCAATAGTCGTGGTATCTTCTTCTGACTGAGAAGATTGGGCTTGGTCTGATTGCTCAGGTGAAGGTTGGGCTTCGTCCGATTGCTCAGGTTGATCCTGCCTACTTTGTTCTTCAGCTTTGATCCTGGCAATAATCTTTTGAGCCTGTTCGCCTTGAGAGATTAGTTGTCTCCAAGAACGACATTCTGCAACTCCGATTCTGGCTAGGAGGTCGGTCTGTAAGTTGTGTCGACAGGTCTCTACTAAAGTAGACTGTGTCATACCTGACGAACACCGGAGAGCCATGGTTCGAAACCTCTTGACGAAGGCTTTGACGGACTCCCTCTTCTTCTGCTTAGTGGCGAGAAGAGTATAGATAGAGACTTCTATATCCTCTTCAAAGAATCTTGATAGGAAGAGTCTCTCTAGATCCGTCCACTTTTGGATACATCTGAACCATTCAAAGGCAACTCCCTTAAGGGTGCCAATGAACAATCGAGCCAGTATGGCATCGTTTGATATTACATTCCCAGTCTGTGACTTGAAATGATAGATATGTTGGTTCGGTGATCCCGTGCCGTCAAAAGTTTGTAGCGTCGGGACTTCGAATTTTGGAGGATAAGGGGCTGCATCCCATTCGGCAGGATAGGGTCTGACAACTCCCTCTTCTTGGAGCTCGCTTCTGTTGGCCATAGCATTGAGGCGGGCTTCCAATTCTTCCATTTTGGTAGACTGGAGATTCTGTTCGTTCTCCGTCTCTCTTCCTTCATCAGAGGAAGATTCTAGGTTGTGGGCTTCTTGGTCAGAAGCCGTGTCATCAACCTCTTTTTCCTTCCCTTTGCTTGTTTGAGGTCGGGATGAAGACGTTTTTCCTCTCCGGGAGGATTCTTGTCTGGGTGGCGAATATGTCTTCTGAGATTTGGCCTTGTTTGCGACGATTTGAGTCAACAGGGCCATGAGTTCATTGATGGCCTGTTGCTGAGATTTGAGCATGGCCTCCTGCTCATCAAGTCTCTTTGCGAGATCTTCATGGTTTCCCGTCATATAAGCGTAGCTCTCATGTTCAACAAAAGAGCTTGATGACTGGGACTCTGCAATGGCTGAGTGTTCATCATTGGAATTGGTTCCCCTGGCTAAACTCCGATAGTTGACAGGGGGAATGGCTCCTGTTCGCGTCCGAGTATGTTGATAAACTCCATCAGACTTATTCAGGAAGTCTTTCAAGCCAGGAGACTGATCGTTCTCTGACTTATCGGAACTAGGAACTGATGATCTCCCTCTGCCGATCATGTTAGAAGTGACTCTAAGGTATTCATCCTCAGAAGTATTCTTCTTATGTGAACGCCGTCGTTGGTTGGGTAAAGCAACGTTCGTAAATTGGTTGAACACCAGCAGTTGGGCCGCATATGAGCAGCATTGGCGTCCCGAGAGGACCGTAGGAATCAGTCGTTCACATTGAAATGAACGAATGACTTGTTGCATCGATCTTTCTCTCGATGTGAACTCCGATGTGAACTCTCTCAAATCTGTTGTGAAGATTCGAGGAGAACTACTCACTGATCGTGAGGTTTGAATTGGAACCCCCAGTCCATGATTGGACATGACTGGCTCTTTGTGAACATGGATCTGGTTGAGATGCCTTGAATCCATGAACTTCTTATATCTGCCCCTCAATCTAGTCGCGCTACGCAGAGTATTCGGGGGTCTCACATGCCTGAGCTCCAGGTGTTGCTGGTGAAACGCAGCTTTGAGAGTTGCGTTTATTTTGTGGAACGCACCCCTGAGGGTTGCGTTCATTTTGTGGAACGCACCCCTGAGGGTTGCGCTCAGTCTTCTTCACACAGAGCCTATGTTTGGGCTCATAGACGCGAGACTTGCATTCTGAAACAGAAACGCAGAGCGCATGGTTGCGTTTAGGCTTACGAACGCGAGGCTCGCGTTGGTTGGAGGATCGATTTTCTCGAAGTTGTACTTGTCGTCGAGATCTTCTTCTTCGTCGAGCGGCGTTCTTGTTGGCCTGT